CCATGTGCATCTGCTCCTTGAATGCCAACAGCAATCTTGAATTGTTTCTTTCCATTGCATGCAGCAAGGCAGACACCACTGTGTTGTCGTCGTCGTCTGACTTGCAGCTCATGAAATAATGCAGGATCAGCTGTGTTGTGTTGACGCTCATCACAAGATAGGAGAGCTGTGCGGGATCCATGCTTTCAGACAGATAATGGGCACACAATTTACTGGGGTTGAAAAACAGCGCAAAACATAGACAGAAGCCCATAGAATGATGGGATGGAGAAAACTGCATCATGGGATGGTAAACCTGCCCTCATGAGGCACTGTGATCCCTTCCCAGAGCATCCAGTGGCAGATGGTGGTGAATTGCACGATGGGATAGCTACCAATGGTGCGCTGCTCTCTCGATGCAAGAGCACCAACGGTGGATGCGCTCTGCCATCACAAGGAGCATTGTGTGGACATACAAAAGTAGTTTAATTACAGTGGTGGATGATCGTCGAGTTCATTAAGTCGACTGAACTGTAGACATAACCTGTATCTGAAATCTTTGTTTATTAAGGGAGAGGGTTAATGGTTATACATCTCTTCTCTTTGTATTGGGGGAGAGGCTTAATGAGTGGGAATGCTCCTCTTCTTTGTGTTTCTGTATGTTTTTCTAGTCAGTTTAAATTGCAAGGTCTTTGGGGTAAGGACTGTGTCTTTTAACTTGTTTAATGTGGTTTGTAAACTGACATGTAGGTTGATGGCCTGGTATGCAAATAAAGATATACAAACCTACTTGTAACATTTGTTGATCATCTCTGTTCAAAACTAGAGCATAATAAAGTGATAGGGAATAGCCAACATGGATTTGTCAAGAACAAATCATTCCAAAATCCCAGTTTAATTTTGAGATGTATTAACAGGAGTGTTGTATGTAAGAAACAGGAGGCAATTGTTGCCACTCTGATTGGCACTAGTGAGGATTCAGATGTACTATGTCCGGTTTTCGACCCCACACTGTAAGAAAAGTGAACAAACTGAAAGTCCAAAAATAAGAAGTTAAGAAAACATCTGAGGAAAAGTTGAGAGAGAACTGGGCATTTTAAGGCAGGGGTGTGGATAGGGGTTGGGGCAGTCAGGGGACAGGAGTTGGATAGGGGGCAGGAGCCCTGGGAGGGGGCGGTCAGGGGACAAGGAGGGGGCGGGGTTGGATGGGTTGGAGGTTCTGAGGGAGGCAGTCAGGGGGCAAGAAGTGGGAGGGGGCGGGGGCCAGGCTGTTTGGGGAGGCACAGCCTTCCCTACCTGGCCCTACATACAGTTGCGCAACCCCGATGTGGCCCTCGGGCCAAAAAGTTTGCCCACCTGGGGTCTAGGGTGCAGTAAGGGAGATTTAGGCTGGATGTTAGGAAAAGCTTTCCAACTATAAGAATAATCAAGCATTGCAACAGGTTACATGGGGGTGAAATCTGTCTTTGGAGGTTTTTAAGAACAGTTTAGACAAACATCTGTCTGGAATGGTCTAGGTATACTTGATCCTGCCTTAGCTGAGGCGGGTAGACTAAATGAATTGTCCTTTCCAGCTGTACATTTCCCTGATCCTATAGTCTCCTAGCTGTGGATAATGAACATGTGTCTGATGTAATTACTATTTTGATACTATTGCTTGATGGGTGGAGCTGCCTTAGCTCAGGCAACATGCAGGGATGGTGGATAGGTCAGCACTTGTTTGGCTTGGTTCCTTCATGGCTGAGAGGTCCCAGGTGGTTGTATTGGGTAAATGTATGAGGGTCCTCTCACCAGAGGTGCGCCACAGTTTTTTATCTTGTTATACACACATACTAAAAAGAGTGGTGTGTGTATAGGGCTGTTGAGAGGCTGAGGTATGGGTTAGTGTTTATAGTCAACTTTGTCTCCATCTTACTTGATCTCAGACAAAGGAGACTGAGTCTCTTACCCAGTGTCTGATGGCATGCATAAGAACAAAATGGGACTAATTCAGATAAGATACTGATGTGGATAGGTTGGGGGAGGGGGATGAAAGCTATAGTCTTATCAACTTGGTTAATTTGAGGATGTGTGCCCATTGTTTTTCAAATTCTTAATTTAAGAATTTGGTGAGAACAGCAGCTGCATCTAGATGATCAAATAGCAGTTGTGGCCAGGAGAGCTTTTTCCTATCTACACTTGACCAGAGGATCCACTCTTCTTTCACATGCAGTTCTTGATATTATGTCTGTCACTTGGAAGTAAGATTACTGTAGTGTTCTCTAGATTGGTCTTATGATATAACAGCATTTTTTTCAAAGTTTGGGTCACGACCCAGTACTGGGTCGTGGCATGTAAGGCACTGGGTCACTCTGGTCAGCGTTGCCAACCGGGACGTTAAAAGTCCCGTCGGTGGTGCTGCCCAGCTAAGCCAGGCTAGTGCCTACCTGTTCTGACACCATGCTGTGCCCCTGAAGCAGCCAGCAGCAGGTCCAGCTTCTAGGCAGGGGGGCCACGGGGTTCCACATGCTGCCCCCACCCTGAACACCAGCTCCACACTCCCATTGATCAGTTCCCAGCCCATGGGAGCTGGGAGGCAGTGCCTGCAAGCGAGAGACACACGGAGCTGCTTGTGCGCCTCCGCTTAGGCGCCAGACCTGCTGCTGGCTGCTTCAGGCGCAGCATGGTCTGAGCTGTCAGGACAAGCAGGAAGCCTGCGTCTGCACCACTGACTAGGAGCTGCCGGAGGTAAGTCTGTGCCCCAATCCCCTGCCCCAGCCCTGAGTCCCCCCCAAATCCAGAGCCCGTCCTGCACCCCAAACTCCTCATCCCCACCCCCATCCTAGAGCCTGCATCCCCACCCCACAGCCCTCACCCCCTCCTGCACCCCAACCCCCTGCCTCAGCCCAGAGCCCCCTCACACACCCCAAACTCCTCATCCCCAGCTCCGTTGGGTCACGGGTATCAACAGTTTTCTCCAGGAAAAAAAGTTTGAAAACCACTGCAATATAAGTCTCTTTTGGAAGATGAAACTGTCACATAATACAACTACCCACTTACTGAATTGTGGTGTTGGCAGGAGGATTTGACCCCAGTATTATCCACGCTACTTGCTAGCTGACTTTCAAGTACAATTTAGGTGTTGGATTTCATCCTGCAAGGTCCTAACTGACCCTGATATCTGCCCAATTGAAATGAAGCAGTACTCCCACGGATGAGATCAGCAGAGGTGCTCAGACTGACTCTCTCCTTTTGTAATCATGGGAGAGAGCTACCAGTAGGACATTCACAATGAGGCACACCTTCAGATTTGGAATTCTTTTCCCTTTTTTGTGGCTCTAATCCCTGGATCTGAAATAGCCCACATCTGTTGGACTTTTGTGGCATGCTGTCAGACTCATATGTTTTCTAGGAATTTCCATGAGGAGGAGAATATAAAGGAAATGGGATAGGATTTGAGGCTGTATGGGTATTGGCTTGTTTATTACTTGATGCAAGTTGAATTTGTAAGAGAATAGACTGGCTTGGGTGCTTTATTGTATTGACTAAGTTTGCATGTAATGGCAAGTAATGATCAGTGTTTCACAGTCATGTTGGAAGGACATAACTAGTAGGGTCCCACAGGGATCAGTTCTGGGTCCTGTTCTGTTCAATATCTTCATCAATGACTTAGATAATGGCCTAGAGAATACACTTTTATAAAATTTGCAGATGATACCAAGCTGGGAGGGGTTGCAAGTGCTTTGGAGCATAGGATTATAATTCAAAATGATATGGACAAATTATCTGAAGTAAATAGGATGAAATTCAATAAGGACAAATGCAAAGTGTTCCATACTAACTGGAGTAATCAGTTGCACACATACAAAATACCTAGGAAGTACTACTGTGGAAAGGGATCTGGGAGTCGTAGTGGACCACCAGCTAAATATGAGTCAACAGTGTAACGCTGTTCCAAAAAAAGCGAACATCATTCTGGGATGTATTAGCAGGAGTGTTGTAATCAAGACACGAGAAGTAATTCTTCCGCTATACTCCACGCTGATTAAGTCTCAACTGGAATATTGTGTACAGTTCTGGGTGCCACATTTCAGGAAAAATGTGGACAAATTGGAGAAAGTCAAGAGAAGAGCAACAAAAATGATTTAAAGCTCTAGAAAACATGATCTATGAGGGAAGACTGAAAAAATTGGGCTTGCTGAGTCTGGAAAAGAGAAGGCTGAGAGGGGACATAATAGTTTTCAAATACATAAAAGGTAGAAAAATTATTCCTCTTAATCTCTGAGGATAGGGCAAGAAACAATGGGCTTAACTTGCATCGAGGGAGGTTTAGGTTGGGCGTTAGGAAAAACTTCCTAAGTGTCAGGGTGGTTAAGCACTGGAATAAATTGCCTAGGGAGGTTGTGAAATCTCCATCGTTGGAAATTTTTAAGAGTAGGTTAGACAAACACCTGTCAGGGATGGTCTAGATGAGGGGTTCCCAACGCAGTGCCCACGTACTGGCCGGCGGACGAGCATCCGTCGAAATGCCAACGACAAGCAGCGTCATCCAGAGGCATTGCCGTGAAAATCAGCAGCATTTCAGCGGCGATGCCTCTGGATGGCGCTGCTGCTTATCGGCGGCATTTTGGCGGCGACGCCTATTGACGTTGCCACTTGTCGGCAGCATTTCAGCAGATGCTTGTCCGCCGCCACGGTCCTTTGTGGCTCGTCTGGTGCCCGCCAGCTGAAAAAGGTTGGGGATCACTGGTCTAGATAATACTTAGCCCTGCCATGCGTGCAGGGGACTGGACTAGATGACCTCTCAAGGTCCCTTCCAGTCTTGTGATTCTATGACTGAAACTTTGATAAGCACCTTTTTTAAGACATTGAGAATGTTCAGTGTAGATTTAGTAAGACACACATGGGACCCCACACAGATTTTTACACTTTTCAGAGTAGAACTGCAATTAAAGGAAAGCTGTTCTGTTTGACCTCTTTATTGCAAAGTTGTTTGGCTTGATGTGGTATTTTCCTGGACTAATGGTTTGTTTCCATTTAAGGTGGACAGCAGCAAGGAATCAGCAGAAGCAGCTTGTGATATTTTATCACAACTTGTGAATTGCTCTTTAAAAACTCTTGGACTGATTTCAACCGCTCGACCAAGCTTCATGGATTTACCTAAGGTAGCTTGTGCATGTTTTAATTTATTTATTGAATGATTGTAGTGGTAAGCATGATACTGATATAATTTAGAAAGTATATAGATTTAAAGCAGTAGGTTCTCTGTGGCTTCATCTGCTCCTGGGAGCTCTTAACATGCAGGCACTGAGACTCGGTAATTAAATTTGACTAGAACTTGTGGGTGTTTACGGTACTTGCTTAACTTCCCAAATCTTTTCCCAACATACATTGGCTTCAGTGTAAAAATCTGTGAAATATTTGTGTGTGTGGTGTGTGTGCGCACGTGTGCAGTCTGTATATAAAATAGATCTAAGACCAGCAAGGAGCATTCTGATCATCTAGTTTGACCACCTGCATAATACAGGACATAGAATTTCACTCAGTAATTCCTGCATCAAGCCAATAACTTCTGGTTGAGCTAGAACATATTTTGTAGAAATATATCTGATTTTGATGTCATAACTTGAAGCAATGGAGAGTCCATTGCGTCCCTAAGTAAGTTGTTCCAATGATTAATGGCCATCACTGTTAAAACTTTGCACCTTATTTCTAGTGTGACTTGGTCTAGCTTCAGTTTCCAGCTATTGGATTTTGTTGTGCCCCTGCTAGATTAAAGAGCTTCCATTACCGGAAATCTCCCCATCCATAGGGATGCTTATAGACCAGGGAGGGCAAACTACAGCCCGCAGGCCGGATACGGCCCATCAGGGCTTTCGATCCAGCCTGCAGTATTGTCAGCCTAATGGTGCAGCGGGGCTAAGGCAAGCTCCCTGCCTGCCCTGGCCCTGCGCCACTCCCAGAAGCAGCCAGCACCACATCCCTGTGGCCCAGGGTAGGGGTGAGCAGAGGGCTCTGTGCACTGCCCTCGTCTGCAGGCACCACCCCCCACAGCTCCCATTGGCTGGGAATAGGGAACCCTGAGCCCCTGCCCACCCACACCCCTCCTGCACCCCAACCCCTTGCCCTGAGCCTCTTCCAGCACACCGCACCCCCTCCCACAGCCTGCACTTCCTCCTGCACCCCAACCCCCTGCCCCAGCCCTACATTCATAGCCCTGCATACAATTTCCCCACCCAGATGTGGCCCTTGGGCCACAAAATTTGCCCACCCCTGTTATAGACAGTGATCAGAGTCACATCTTGGCCTTTTCTTAGATCAAACTCTTTAGTATGTTACTATAAAGTGGATTTTCCAGACCTTGAATCATTTTTATGGCTCTTTTCTGACCCCTTTCCAGATTTTCAGCACCATTTTTGAAGGATGAACACCAGAAGAAGTGGACATAGTACAGCAGTAACCGTGTCACTAATGCTTAAGGCTAAGATTTAGGCATGGGCATTTTTACTAAAACTTATGGACAGGTTACAGGCAGTAAATGAAAATGCACGGCCTATGACCTGTCCATGACTTTCACTATAAATACCCCAACTAAGGTGCTGCTGCCCCTGTGGGGCCTGAACAGTAGTTGGTGCTGGACTGGTCCTGGGGTCAGCTGTACCAGCTGCTGCAGCCATGGAAGTCACAGCATCCGTGACCTCCATTGCAGATTCACAGCCTTATTAATGCCATATATAGTGATGATGAATTTGTCCTTTCATCTACTCTGTATTCTCCTGCTTATACATTCACAGATCACCTATTTTTACTAGGAGCTTGTGTTGGCACCATTCAGTCTCATTCATTACTTAGATACAGTCCCCTATCTTTGGGACCTACAATCTTTGTTACAGTTACATTATATTCACTTATCATATTTTTATAAAACCATATAGACTGCAACATCACAGTAACTTTATTTAAAAAAAAAGGCCTTTATTATGCAACCATCCTTTAATTCTGATTATGTACTTCATCAGGCTTTCTCTGACTTTGCCCAGGACTATCTGGCCTATTTTTTACCTGAGCCATCCATCCTGTGCACATTTTATAAAATACAGGCACTAGACTAGCTCGTTCTTCTGGAATTTTGCAAGTGTTTCAAGACTTGTTAAATATCAGCATCAATGAGTTGGAGCTCCTCAGCCAAATCTTTTAACATCTAAGAACAGATAACTTTGACACAAGAGTTTTAAATGTTTAACTTTGGTAGTTCCTTCCTACTTACTTACTACTTTCTGACTGGTAGATGTGTCTACATCATCCTTCTCTCTCTTCCCCCCCTCCCCCCAAAAAGAACAAATATATTCGCACGTATATATATATATGCATAAAAGGCAGAGGTATTCAGTAGCTAAATGGCACTGGTAATGATTCCTACAGATAAAGTTGCCTAACACTTCTGTTTTGATCTACTATGTTTCTTGAAAAAGAACAGGAGTACTTGTGGCACCTTAGAGACTAACAAATTTATTAGAGCATAAGCTTTTGTGGGTTACAGCCCGCTTCTTCGGATGCATATAGAATGGAACATACATTGAGCGCACGCGCGCACACCCACACACACCCACCCACCATGAACAGGTGGATTGAATAAGGACTGAGCCATTACAAACATTGAATCTATCTACCCTTGTAAGTATTCTCACACTTCTCATCAAACTATCTGTACTGTGCTATCTTGATTATCACTTCAAAATGTGTGTGTATACATATCTCCTCAATATATGTTCCATTCTATATGCATCTGAAGAAGTGGGCTGTAGCCCACGAAATCTTATGCTCTAATAAATTTGTTAGTCTCTAAGGTGCCACAAGTACTCCTGTTCTTTTTGCGGATACAGACTAACACGGCTGCTACTCTGAAACCTATGTTTATTTACTTATAACTTTTGCCAAACTAATTGTTTGGGCTGAAAATACCCATGCTTGCTCTTCAACTGAATCTCTTTTTGAAAGATTCAACAAAAAACTGTCCTGAGAAGGTTAAGGAAAAATACATAGTTTTGCTAAAGTTAATTTTTTTTTCTGGCAGTTTCTTTGTATGGATGTTAGCTAATCTATCCTTCCTCAGTGTCAGGTAGGTCTTCCTCTTCAGTGAACAGCATTACTATCTGATTGTGGTGTTGCAGCAGCATACTAAAAGTAATCTGAATCTTGTTTTGTTTCCATGGCTGCTCACAGGGTTCTCAATAACAGCAGTGAAAACAGAAGACTAGTCAGTTTTCATTCTGCTGCTTGATAAGCAAAGGTACTGGAGCTGTCTGCAGATTTAGGAATGCAGCACTCTTTGGATGTATACCTGGTTCTTCAAGTGATTGCACATGTCCATTACACTTCAGGTCTGTGTGCATATAGTACACCAGAGCTGGAGATGTTTTTCACATAGCTGTACCTGTTGTGCTACCAGCTGCAGTATAATGGGGTGTGGCCACCCCAACCTCTCTGTTCCTTTTAACTGCCCTTGCACAGAAATTCCAATTAATGATCTTGTGTGCACAAGTTTCTCCTTTGTGAACAGCTAATTTATATTTGTTAGCATAATGGTACTCGTAGTTTATTGTATAGTGTGTTTTTTTTTTTTCCTGTCTTTAGACCTAGTGTCAGATCTCTTCTTATGAAATAAGGCGCAAACACTTGGTACTGTGGGGTATGCCTCAGTCCCCAGGTTTTAAGACCTGTGCTGAAAGCAGGAAGTCCAAAGTTGGTTAGTGATACTCCTTCTCTGTGCCTGAAGTGTCTGAGTGAGGGCCCCTTTCTCACTGGTGCCAAGTTTGTAGAGATTTCAAGCCCCATACTAAAAAAGACAGAGGTAAGCCTTCACCGCATCATAATGGAGGCTGTCTTGCATCCTCTCTCTGAGCCCAGCCATTGATACACTCACTGGGTGGATCAACCCCATCTATGAGTGCTCCTGCAGACCATGCCATCTCTTCTCCTAGAAGAATTTCTGAGAGGGAGACACAGTTCCCATTCACTGGTGCCTATAAGAAATGAGATGACCACTGATCTTTAAAAGCTGAAAGGGCTCCTCCTCTTAGGCATCTTCTTATTTTAATAATTTTGATTAAATTTCAGACTTGCATTTTTGCTAAACTTAGTCTTTGTATGTAGATAAAGTGTTTAGAACAGATTTTACATATTGCAGTTTACCCTCGTGTCTGAGTCTGGAGGATGTTGCCTTGGAAGTGCACTTTGCAAGTAATCTTCAGAGCTTACTTTTAGGTTCACTAGTCAATTTGTGCACTTGTATAGGATATTGTGAATTTTAGAGCACTGCATTTTTTTTGTCCCAGTTCCTGAGTTTCTGTTAATGTTGAATATTATCAATGACGATTCGTAGACAAGGATTTATAACAAAAACTAAATACTTGATCTTTTTAAAATAAAGCACACTTGGTCAAATGTTTTACTGTCTAGTTGAGATAAAATGGATACAGTAATGTTGACTATTGCAGTAGGTGTTAGACTAAAGGAAGGTATAGACCTTTGGCATGCGGCTCGCCTGGGTAAGCACCTTGGCGGTCCGGGCCAGTTTGTTTACCTGCTGCAGCCGCAGGTTCGGCCGATCACGGCTCCCACTGGCCGCGGTTTGCCGCTCCAGGCCAATGGGGGCTGCGGGAAGCGGCGCGGGCTGAAGAATGTGCTGGCCGCTGCTCTCCGCCACCCCCATTGGCCTGGAGTGGCGAACCGCGGCCAGTGGGAGCCGTGATCGGCCGAACCTGCGGACGCAGCAGGTAAACAAACCGTCCCGGCCCCCTAGGGGACTTACCCTGGCGAGCCACGTGCCAAAGGTTGCCGATCCCTGGTGTAGACTATCTATATGTGAAGATGTAAGGAAACATTGGTTTTGAAAATCTATTTGGAATATTTCACATCCCTGTTTCACTGTTACTGTTTTTCTCCTTTCTGCAGTCACATTTTATCTCTGCACTGACAGTGGTGTTTGTAAACTCCAAATCCCTCTCTTCACTTAAAATAGATGATACACCAGTAGATGATCCATCCCTCAAAGTACTAGTGGCTAACAACTGTGATACACTCAAGCTGTTAAAAATGAGCAGTTGTCCTCATGTTTCTCCTGCAGGTGAGCTACACTGTGTGTGTTTAAAAATGTGTGGTGGGTGTGTTTGTTGTGGGTTTGTTTTGGGTTTTTTTTGGTTACACAGTGTGAACTTTCCAGCAAGCTTCTGAAAAATTGGGGGTTTTGGCTAGTATTTACAGCCTCTGACGTTTTAATACTTGTTCCACTGTCTTTGTTTCATAAGAATATTAAAACTGTATGCCTAGAATTATTTTGACTAGTACTGAAACAGTCTTTGACCATCATGGACAAAAAAAAATTGGGGGGAAGGACCGATGAAAATTTATTTTAACTTTTTTTTTTAAACATAAGCAGTATCTGTTTCCTGCTACAGCTTTAAAGAAAGTTAAACTGGCTAAGCACCTCAAACCAGAGTGTGTTGAAGTGCTAAACCAGCTTTTGACAGCGGTATCCTCTTCTGCAAGTGCAGAATAAATATTTTGTTTGTTCCAGTTTGTTCAGTTCAATGATTAGTTCATTCAAAGTTAAAAACCCTATTTGGAGTTGAAAAAAACAGAATTGTTTTCCTTTTCCAGTCTAAGAATAAAAACAAAGTGTGAGCCAATGAGATTGACTAATTCTAAAATTTTAAAAGACATGGTGACCAGAAACAATCAGTTTAGTTCATTAACTACAGATAAGGCATCCTTTGTTTAATAAATCAGTTTTTATCAAAAATATTTTGCATTTAAGTTTATTTGTGTTTCCATCACATAAAGGCAGTTTCATTTAACCAATACAAATTTAAAATGCTGTTTTAGTGTTTTTTAAATAAATTCCAATTTCCATCCAAATAGAGCATGATACAAATAAAAAGTTAATCTAGTAAATAAGAACATCATTCACCATTCTCTAACATAAAGTAGAAATTAAGAATCTATATATGCTATATAATTGCTGAAATAAATGTGCATAGCTATAGTGATCTTCCTGATAATCAAAAGTACCAAATTCGTTGTAAAGTTTTTATATAGTTGCAAATCAACATGTTTTAATGGCTACCAACTAATGAGAATAAACTTTTCTTTAAGAAAATAACAAGTATAAATACACAACAAAATTAAAACCCGGTGATTTTAAATTCCGTTTTCTACTTGTTGATTTAAATCAGTCCACCCTGGAGGAGGATGGGTGGGGTGGGGATGGAGGAATCCCTTTTAAAAGGCTGAATCCAATTTGATGACTTAAAATGGGTTGACAACTCTCTTGTGCTTCACTGGAAGTAGAATACATTCTCAGGTATTTCAGAATGTAAGTTTCTCCAAAGCAGTTCATTATGACTATGACTTGAATTATGGAGTGCCATGGATAATGGAGTGGCTGATTTCCTTGTTCTGAAAGAGCAATTTTATCCTTTACTTGAATTGAAAACAAGAAAATAGACAACACAACATCAAAGGGGTGAAGGACCTGAGCTGTACAACACATCTTCTGTCACTGACAGTTCTACTTCTCTATCACAATGAAAGGGTCTGTGGCAAGGGTGAAGCTAGTTTGTGCAGTAAACAGAGCATTCTCAAGCTGGTTCAAGACCGTAGAACTTAAGAACTACCTTACATTTCACTATATTCTGTCCCAAAAGCAATGCATGATTTGAGCTTGCTTTCACAAATAACAGCACATCAGCTTAAAAATGACACATACATTTTTCCAGAGGAAAAGAAAATCGCAGGAACCAAACATGAGATGCTATTCATTTTCTTTAATTTATCTTTGGAAGATAGTTGGACACCAGAGTGATACATATAATGTAAAAACCTGAATGAAACAGTAATTTTAATAATTACATATAAAAATTAGCAGCACAATGCTGAGTAAAGATGTAAGAATGATGAGAACTCACACACTAATAAATTTACTTGGTGGTATTTGGATGTGTAGCTTTTCACAAATAAGGGTATATATTGTTTTAACATGGAGAAATCTGTGGAATGCTAAGTGGAGTGCTGGTATCTTTAAAACATTTTAATCACAATTACTTTCAACAAGACATTGACTTGTACACTATCATAGAACTAAAATAACTCAGTTTTTCTTCCCTTCCCTCCCCCCCGGTTTACTGCTTAAGTTTGTAGTAGTTGGTATTTGACAATACTTTGCTTTCATGAACATAGAAAATCATGTTGTCAATTTATATTATAATGGCCTGGTTTAAATTTAAAGATTTTAGGTGGAAAATGGCATTTCCTTTTTAAGAAATAGAGAAAACTACTGTTGCCCTTTTTGTGAGGTGGTAGAATGGAGCAAAATGAAAGTGACAAAACAATGGACTGTGCTAAGCAAGTGGGAAAAGAACTCAGCTGAGAGCCATAGCTGAGATCTGGTGTGGCTGGCTAGAGAAAACAAAGAGTGGAACAGACTGGAAATGAGCTAGCATGTAGACAGTTGGCTTCATGTTATGTTTGAGTTCCAAAGCAGGGAAACGACAACAGAAGCAAGAATATGTGGAAGAAAATAAGAAAACTTTGAGTACTCAGGCTTACTATTTGTTTGTTTGTGCATGGAAGCGTTCCACTTACCAGATTGCTAAAAACTTGAATTCACAGTGCCTAATTCCTTTTGAGCATTCAATCCTAAGTGACTTGCCTAGAGTCACACAGGATGTTTGTGGCGGAGTAGGGATCTCCTACGTTGCAGGCTAGTGCTCTAGCCCCTGGACATTCCTTCCTCTCTGATTTATTATGGAGGCACCAGTCACAGCTCTTCGGTTGAGTTCTGCAGTTTATATTGTTTGAATTACAGTGAGTCACCTGACCATCATAGTTACCAGTCACCTAGAGTTTTTATTATGATTTTCATATTTTCCTTTCAAAAGTAATACTTCAGAAAGGATTACATTTCACTGAGTGCTGTTTTAGGAAACATTTTCCTTTTTAACAAAAATATGAACACTTGAAATGTTACCATGAACAATTTTTACTCCCAAGTCTTGCAGTATCTCTGTATGTATCACTTCAGTTTTTCCACAGGGTTACTGGGGAAGAGGACATCTGACACCTCTATTTCAGTGTGTAAATTGCATAATATTCTGGAATTCAGTAATTAAGCTTTTGAGTTTCTTTACTTCGTACTTCAGTCTTTAGGAAGCTGAAGAATTTCACTCAAGTTTAATCTTAAAATTGTCTTTTTTTTCTCAAAATCAATGTTCATATTTTCATTATTTGTACAGGAAATTAAATAGAAAAGACACTTTAGTTATGCAACAGAATTAAATGGTAAGATATTGAAATGAATGTAACTGGTATACGCTAAATGCAGCATTAAAGTGACAGATTGGAGAATATTATTGATATAATGAAAACTGTTTTACATTTAATGTTTCTGATCCTGAGGTTGTAGTTTTGTTGAAGAAATCATTACGTTTTTAGGATCAATGTTTTGAGTAAGTAGAGCTTAAATGAAAATTTGGTTTTTTTTTTCCAATTATTGCAAATTTGTAGCTTCATTTTTCAGCTAAAATTTTCAGTTCTGAATCAAGTGTTTCCTGTAAGTAAACAAAACTGAACCATACCCAGCCTAAACTTTAGGCTGCATTCTGCGGCATGCAAAACTCAGAAGGCTGTATATAGTGGGAATTGGGGTGGGGGGGGGGACAAAACAAAACAAAAAAGATCCTTACCAACTGTAGTAGTTTAAATTTACCATAGAATGGGACTGCAAATACAAAGTATAGGGAATACCTCATATATCATGGGGTGGTGATAAAGATGTGTTGGTTTTTTTTATTGGCACTGTCTGCATGCTACTTAACCACTAGGCAAGGCTGCTGCTTTATAGGAAGAAGTGAGAACTCTGCAGCCCGCCCCCCAAAAAAATCACAGTAAAACAGCCACTCTGGAAGTTGCTGGCTTCAATTTTCAGTTTCTACACTGCTACAGCTATTCAGGGTTGGAAGGGCTGTAGTAATGTCCTAAGTGGACAGTGTGAAACAGGTGTCTTACACTGAAGGAAAAAAAAAATCCCCTAACAACCTAGCTCTTCACTAGGAACTTGATACTCCCAAATCCTGCAGAAAGCAGACTTCATGCCTCCCAATTGTCTTTCTAAAGCTGGTTGTGAGCTCCATATTTCCATTGTTTTTGTTTAGGAAACTATCCCAAAACACTCAGTGATTGCTGGAGGTGAAAGGAGAGACTCTTCAGCCAACAAGCTACCATTACCTGGCTGACAACTGTGTAAACTAATAGGGAGAATTGTTTTCTACTGTGTGTTGTCTTTTTAAAATTCTTTCCTGGTTAACATCTGTCTGCCTGGAAAGATTCTTTCTTTCCCCCCCCCACCTCCACTGAGGGCATTAGGGGTGAGTACATTGACCTCAGTGCTTCCTCCACCCTCCTTCCCACAACATACAGCAATTTGGCAGGACAAAGTCAAATTCCATGTAGAAATGTATTACTACTTGAGATGTCAGAGGCCAGGGAGAGGTGCAGTAGTCATTTCAGAGCACATGTTATGGAGCTGTGGACATCATTTTATTCTTGATAATCCATCTGTTCAGACTTACTGTACCTTTTTTCTTGAACTTTTGACACTGCATAGAGCAAACATCAGTACATAATATGAATGCATTAGACACACTGAAATTGCATGTTACAACAAAACATACAATTTGGTGTAGTAAAGAATGATTTGCAAGTGTAAAAGAAAGCAGATGTTCAGTCATTAGTGCATATATGCCTTACTGTATATGTACAGAGAATACATTATAATACAATCATGAAAAGGATTTATGGCTGGAGTTTGAGATTAATGAATAACGCACAAGGATGCTTATCAGCATCCTATCTAAGATAATTTTATTTCAGTGTCTGTAACTCATAATATAGATATTCTAGGTTACTCTGGATTTTGCATTTCAGAACTCCTGCTTCTTTTAGACATGCAAAAGCTAATTTTTGTTTGAGGTTAAATTCAAGAAAACTCGCTTTGATTTATAAGGCATTTTCCATGAATACAAATTAACACTTTGATGTTTTTTTCAAGGTATCCTTTGTGTGGCTGACCATTGTCATGGTTTACGTGAGTTGGCACTGAACTACCATCTCTTGAGTGATGAGCTTCTGCTTGCTTTGTCTTCTGAGAAACATGTCAGATTAGAACATTTGCGCATTGATGTAGTCAGTGAGAATCCTGGACAGACTCATTTCCACACAATTCAGAAGAGCAGCTGGGATGCTTTCATCAAGCATTCTCCCAAAGTAAACTTAGTCATGTACTTTTTCTTATACGAAGAGGAGTTTGACCCATTCTTCCGTTATGAAACCCCTGTCACCCACCTTTACTTTGGGAGGTCAGTAAGCAAAGATGTACTTGGTCGTGTTGGAATGTCATGTCCTCGATTAGTTGAACTGGTTGTGTGCGCCAATGGATTACGGCCACTAGATGAAGAGCTTATTCGTATTGCAGAACGCTGTAAGAATCTGTCAGCTATTGGCTTAGGGGAGTGTGAAGTCTCGTGCAGTGCCTTTGTTGAGTTTGTGAAGATGTGTGGTGGCCGCCTCTCTCAGCTGTCTATAATGGAAGAAGTCTTGATTCCTGATCAGAAGTACAGCTTGGAGCAGATTCATTGGGAAGTGTCAAAGCATCTTGGTAGAGTCTGGTTCCCAGACATGATGCCCACATGGTAAAGTCCTTAAAGACTTCAGGGCATGTGAAATAGCACCTTACATTTGAGAATACCATATTGCAACTTATCACAAGCTTATTTAATATTATAATTTGTATTGTAATGTCACTGCTTTGATTAGAAAATTGATGCCATGTTTAGCACTAATTTCTGAAATCCACATTTTCTATGCTTAAATCTGGATATTCCAGAAACCACTTTCATTCTAATAAAATTAGTCTGTTTTAGGTTTTCTCACTTTGCCATTGACAATGACCCTAAATTTATGTAAATAATAAAATTTGAAAACCTTGACATATTTAAAAATTGTGGTTGCAAAATATTAGCTCCGAATTACAATATTTTATCTGTTACTTTGATATAGATATTAATAGTGAACAGACTGATTTGTATTGACTTACAAAGGGAGGTGAGATTGAATGCTTTTACTGCAGACTATAGCAGTTACCTAGTGTTTAAATGACATGAACTGCCTGAACTACAGAATTTTAAGATTACATGGAGCATTTAGTAGGCTATGAAACTCATACATTACATAGTAGTAAATTAAGAGGCAAGACAACAGAAGTATTGTTTAGAAACTTTAAAAATATTAAATTAGCTATTTATTTAATTTCTGATTAGTAATTTGCACACAATGTATTTTATAGATGAGGGTTACCAAAAGCTTTTTTTCCTATATTCATTTTTCTACTGTAAACTTGACATTTCTAGGGTCTTCAGAGCCATTTCTAAACTTGTTTTAAAATATTAATTATAGCTCAGAAAGCTGAAGCATTCTGGAAGAAATTGTAGATGTACTATATTTTGACACTGGTTGGAATTGACGGGCTTTTCTCAAAAGTTAAAACCAGCCTTACAGCATTTGATTAGCTGGAGTACTGTATATATGTCTAGATAAGAGGAAGCTAAAAATGTGCAGAGAAATGTTGAATGTAATAATGGCTGTTTAAGTAAAGAAAATAGAGCAGAGAGAACACTGAACTTTTTAAAAGGAGTCTAAGGAGCCATCTGACCAAAAAAAAAATCATAGAAGACCCATTAACTGCTTGCAAATTTAAGAGAAAAATGGCTTTGTAACTAAATTGCCTAAACTATATAAATTGCTATTCTGTCAATCTAGCTTCAGAAATGTTCATATATGAAGTGAATGTTTGATAGCTATCCATTTTTTATATTCCTTTATTTCAACTAGTTTCAGATCATTTCATATTTAAAACTCAAAGCATCAGACCTGTGTGAAATAGAGCAATATGCAGAAATTAGATGTACAATTTCACAAAAGTACAACTTATAAATTGTCTTGATCAAAGAAAATGTTAGCCTACAGTGAACTTCGCTGGTGGCATGCTTTCCATTTTTGGGTTGTACAGTTAGTTCTTTTAATAAATAAGTAGATTTTGTTTACTTCTAATGTTTAGTTTGCTCCCAATTGTGACAGACCCAGACCAGTGGGGTACAGGAGTCTGGTAGAGGGCAAATATACTGGTCACTGAATGAGTAGTTTTCTGTTCCCTGAGTGACCAGAGCAGGGGCTGCACTAGAGTAATCAGGAATCTGCTAGAACCAGTTAAGGCAGGCAGGCTAATGTGGACACCTGGAGCCAATTAAGAAGCTGCTAGAATCAATTAAGGCAGGCTAATCAGGGCACCTGGGTTTTAAAAAGACGCTCACTTCAGTTTGTGGTGCGAGTGTGAGGAGCAAGGAGCTGAGAGTGAGAGGGTGTGCTGCTGGAGGACTGAGGAGCACAAGCATTATCAGACACCAGGAGGAAGGTCCTGTGGTGAGAATAAGGAAGGTGTTTGGAGGAGGCCATGGGGAAGTAGCCCAGGGAGTTGTAGTAGGGTTAACATATTTCAACAATCAAAGAGGACATGGGGTGCCGCCCTAGCCCCACCCCAGCCCCTACCCCCTACTTGCCCCCCCCAACTGCCACCAGGACCCCACCCCTATCTAAGTCTCCCTGCTCCCTGTCCCC